ATGGTTTAAATTGTATTTCCTGCACCTTTCACATGCACTAAATTCACTTTAAGTCAGCAAACATAGTTGTCTCCCTGGTTGTCTTCATTGTGGCACGTGTGTGGCAGCACAGTCGGTGTGGGGGACAGAGCTGTTCTGGGTGGCGATGGCCTCGAGAGTTGCTGGGCTGCGGGCCGGGGTGCTCGCTCGGCTGTGGGAGGACACAGACCGGACCTCGCGAGCGCAGGTGGCAGGGGATGTGTGGTGCTGTGCCCAAACCCACCTTCGGCCAGGACAGGTAGGCTGAGTGCAGGCCGTGTGGGATGAAAAGCCATGACCAGAGCAGATGGTGAAGTATTTGAAGATGTTGCAATGAAACCACCTCTGCTTCCAAGAACATGTGGAGAGAGGAGAAGCGGTGATGCAGTCGCCACAGTGCCTGTGAGTTCTGGGCACTCGGGGAGCCCTGGGCTGGAGCTCCCCTGTTCTGCAGTGAGCAGAGGACAGAGCCTCAGGAGGGGACAAGCAGTTGGTGTTTGAAAGGTGGGACAGCTAGAACCAGAACCTGCCTTCACGTACAGAGAGCAGGCAGGCAACTCTGGTAACGTGGCACAGAGTTTCCTCCTCATTTGTTTTTTCCCCCTCTCACAAACCTCTTTCTCCATTTCTTTGTATGCACAGAAGGAGCATGAGGTTATATGCAGTTGCTTTGTGGTACTAGGTAGAGAGCTGTGACCTCCCCTCTGTGACCTCCCCCTTTCTCCTTTAAAGATCTCACTTTTTTATATGAAATGGCTGCTGCCTGGCAGCAAAGAAAACCTGCCTTGTGAAAACCTGCCAGCCAATGCTGGACAAGGCAGGGAGCTCCTGGAGTAGGGAGCAGTAGTAGCTATTTCTACCAAACCACTTTCAATACAGTTTTGGTTCTAGGCGATGGAGAAATTTTGCGTGAAGTAACAGGTTTTTCTCAGGCTTTGAAGGTTGCAGTGTTGCTGTTCAGAGCTGGTATTACAGGTCCTGTTTAGCCACGTAAACTGTTCCATGTTTCACTACCACACTGCGACTGAGCAGCAGACACAGCCACTGTGACCATTTAGAAAAAAGACATTTACTGGAGAAAGTTACATTACAGCTCAACAGCTTATGCAGAAATTTTGTAAAGAAAATAAAACGGTCCCTAGCACCTCATGTGCTAGCATTTGATGGGAAACCCAGGAATCAAGTTTCAGAATTGGTGGGGTCATGCCAGTGGGGGGCTTCTGTAATTAAAGATGGGCTGCAGCCAGAGGGAACAGCATTTCCTCTGAGGTGTATTTGGCATTTCCTTGTAGCGATGTAAAGCACTGGGAGGGGGGAAGAGAGAATTTACTGCTTCAGGCTCTGCCCTGACACAAATAACAGAAGCCTGAGCAGCACTGTGAGAAGTTGTTTCTGCGTAATCATCTGAACAAATCCACCCTCTGTAGTACATGATAAAGCACCAGGGCATAGAAAATTATACTCTGAATGTGTAATGCTTCTTGTGTGACAACAAATAAAAATCATACAAGTTATGAATACCGTGCTGGTGAATGCTGCCTGGAACCTCTCCTTTGCAGAAGTGGGCTCAAGTCCAACATCTGGCTCAAAGTCAGGCCTTGCAAACCTCGTACGGACAGAGACTGCACCACCTCTCTGGGCACCCTGCCATCCTCCTTGACCGTCCCCACAGGTTGGTTTTTCCTTACATCCAGTCAGAGCATCTTGTCTGAACTCAAGCCCCTGTTGTCTCTTCTCATCCTCCCGTGCGCAGGAGAGCCTGGCTTCGTCTTCCTCGCAGCCTCCTTGGAGCTGTGAAGCACGCTGCCATTAGGTCATGCTGAAGCTTTCCCTTCTTTGGGCTGAACCACCTCAGTTCTCATTTAAAAATGTCTTTAATGTCAGACTGTGTTGTGGAGGGGGAGTGACACAAAAAGGTACTTGTCGTAATTGCAAGGAATACAGCCCAAAACGATTACCCATTTGGTTTCTGCAGCATTGTACTTTCCCAGATCTTCACATTTACATTTTGGTGCCTTCAGTCCACATCGTTACAGTTGCTTTGTAGATTAAACAACTTGCTCTCCATTGACTTTACCTTCAGAGAATAAGCTAGTGGAACACAGTATACAGGATCCCATCCTCATCTGGTTAATTAAGGCAGGTGTTACATCTGTCTAATGGAGAGAAGCAAGCACATAATCATTTTGCTAATTTAAGAACAATTATGAGATGAGTTTCTGCAGCAATTCCCTTTCTTCACAGCTGGTTTCCAACAGAAAAGCCAGTTCAGCATTGCTCTGAATGGTGAGAGATTAATCGCTGTATGGCTTCTTGGACTGGCTTCTTTCTGCTTCTGTCTCCTTCATGCTGTATAAGGGTTCCACAAGCTTGTTGTGAACCAGCATTAAACCTAGCGTAGCAAGTAAAAAGATGACTTAAGTAGACATAATAAAGCAAAATTCTCATTCATTGGATGCTAATGAAATTAGGTGTTACTGGAGTCCTTACTCCTTTGCTCCCATGCCTGCACAGTTAAGCATTCCCTTTGTGCTTTTATTATCACTGTACCTCTTGGCTGTTAACACTGAAGAAATGCACTCCTTTGGGAGCTGATTAAACAGAAACATCTAGTGCACAGCACTTGTGCCACTTAAAAACTAACTACAACAGCAGCCTGGTCTGGTCAAACACTCACCTTTAAAGTATTTCACCGTCTTAACTTTGAGTTCCAGCGTGGCGTCCTCATCGCACACAAACACAGTGTTGGGGTGCTGCTGGAAAGCAGAGACTGTCCACATGTGGTTGACGCCTTCCTCAATGGCTTTGTACAAAGCAAAGGCTTTGTGGGCTCCCGTGATAAGGATCATCACCTGGACTCACAGACACAGAGGATGGCAGTCAGGGTCTAGATGGGTTCAGAGAGAGCACACCCACCCCCTGCTGCAC